CATATCGTGTGGTAGGCTCGCTGAAGATATGCTGCGCTCACACCACCATGTGTCCACATTTCAGGGTACGTGTGCCTCATCGATGGTGGTGGCTGTTGTGGCCCGGAAACTGGAGTTGACCAGAGCTGAGAAACACGTGCACAACTTCATGATGGACACACAACTCACAAAAAAGGTCACAATTGTGAAATGTTTGTCTACGCAGTAGCGTTACTTTTTGGCGAAAGTCGCTTTTTCAGTTGAAACACTCGGCAGCAAATGTGCTGCGAGAAACATGGCTCATCTACAAATTTCGGAAGAAGGTCGAAAAAGTCGATTATGCTCGAATTCGGCAACATCAAAGGAAATTCCTGGTCGCTATATATGAGTACGTCATTTGAATCACTTCTTTTTGCTTGAATCTTAACGAACATGTACAAGCAACAACTCAAATCTTATGTTACCTAAAGGCACATTACCTTACTAAATACAGTGCGCGTCAATTGCTTATGCCACCCCCTGATTTTTTCCAGTTTTCTGACTTATTTGGAAATTTCGTAAATCGGCATAGCAACCATCGTTTTCGGCAAGTCGGAAAACTTCGATGGAGTTCAGCGATGGGTACCAGACGGATGGTAGGTACGAGTCATGTTCTCTCTGAACAGAGACTTTGTGAGCGTGAACGCTTCGAGCTTCGCGGGAGCCGAGACCACAAATAAAGTTGACCACGGATTCGAAGCGGGAAAATGTGAATTTAAGAGCTCCTTGAGCACTTCAATTTCCCCAGTTTTGCCTGGATACACTCCTCGATGAGTTCTACAATAAGCAGCAGGAGCGATCGCAAAAGTGAGCACACAGCTCTTTCTCTGATAAAGCGTTTTCATGCTGCTACCAGTATAAGGGCTAATATTCCGAACTAATTAGTTATAAATGCTCCACCATGTGCATTGCATAAGTGGAGGATTTCCTCATTTGTATTACATGCACACCGTAGCTGAATAGCGTTAGAGACATGAGAAATTCTGAAGAAACTTTAGGATGGCATAAGCAATTGACGCGGCCCATTTTCTTCAAAAGAACAGAGCAATTCAAATCCACGCGTTAACCAAAATCAAACAACACCATTCTTAGTTTTCCGACACGCCGAAAACGATGGTTGCTATGCCGATTTACGAAATTTCCAAATAAGTCAGAAAACTGAAAAATTAGGGGGTGGCATATACAATCGACCTGTAGGAAGAAAAAAAAGTCTGCCTATGTTTTGTTGATTGCCAATGATTTAAAGGGATAAAAACGATATGCAGACCTCCCAAGTTTAACATATTTTATAGACTAGCATTCCCGAGAAAATCTTCCTGCGAGACTCAAATTGGCGCCATGTGGCTCGGGGGGGCAGCACGGCGGCGGCGGCAACCAGGAAATTCTTGAGCCAGGGGGAATGTAGCCAATTCAGGGGGGTGGGGGTGAGGGCAGTCACTTAGCATGCGTGAGAAGCTGAAATGTTCCGTGAGAAGCTGGAATGTTCGAGTTACACTACATCGCTGAGCCGCGCGCGCGACTGCCCCCCCCCCCCGAAGCCACATTGCGCCGACTCATTTTGTTGGCGATTATCTTTGACGCATTGAAGCCGCGTTTTACTTATCAATGAAACCAGGCGCATACCACACCCACACACTATGAGAGCTATGCAATTTTGAGAATTATTAGCAAATCTTTTCGGTTTTTTCCCTGCTGATAAACCAACTAACATAACTGTGTTGATTTTCGAGCACAATGAGTCCTGAATACTCAGTCGTGGAGTGTGTCTTTAAGTCGTCGCACGGAACCGAATCATGCCTTATAGGCCAGCGTAAGGCTTTTTAAATCCAGCGATTTGCACGTAGGGAGCGATTCGCTTGATCCACTCGATTCGCAAAGTCTGACACCTGCCATATCATGACAGTCTGCTTCTGTAACCGAAAAAATGCGTCGTGTTAGAGCAGCACTAATGGTAAGCAGCCGAGAAGCGCAAGTGTTTTTCTGAATTTTGGGACACATAAAAATTATCGATTCAAAACAGTCAAGAGACAACCCAACAACTTTCCAATTATTCATATTTTGCAGAATGCGCAAAGTGAAGAGGGATCAACGAAAATTGGCTGAGAATTTCGTCTCTCTCGGTGATATTGCAAAGGTTTGTGGCCTGGATCGAGTTGTTTTATGTTTATCGGGATTGTTTATATCGTTGTATGTGCTATTTTGTTCGAATCCCCCGTAATTAGTAATGTATGCTTCAACGAAGTGATTTTTTCAGACGTCATCGAATACGTACGATCTGATCCAAGATGTTCATTCCACACAAGAAGGTCTCTCGTTGCGAATCACCGCCATTGAAGCATCAGCTCAGCGACATTTCGCGCGAGATCGGCGCGCTGTCCGAGATGATGCGATCGCGGAAGCGAAGCGAGGCGAGCGAAAGCGATCAGAGTCCATCGCACGCCACCGTCGTTCGAAGACGTCGCGAAGCTGTCATGCCATCGTAACCCACCTGGGCGCGCCAGTTGCAAAGGATGAGTTCTCAATGGTTGCGTATCGTTTACGCATCCATGGTTGACATGACATGCAGTACTCTTTCATGAAGCTGTGATAATGTGTGTGTGGACACATCGCTGTATAGAATCAGTGGCGGTCACTTCAACGACGTCATCATCGTAGAGTTGGTCGTGCCGCCTCCTGGTTACTTGCAGGTTGGGAATGAGAGCAGAACGCTAACTCGGAAAGTAACGTGGAAAAAATCAAGGACTGAAATCCGCAAAACGGCACCCTTGCTTCCCTCAAAGAATTTCCGCGCTAGACGCTAGACCCGCAACGATGCTGACGTCATCAACCTGCAGCCTAATCTGCGTCTCTGCCAGAACGCAGACTCAGACGGCGAGAGACCAGACCTATCAGAGGCGGGAGGCGGCACGAAAGTGCCAAGAGGAACAAGCAAAGCCTTTATTACGTCGTTACAGTCGCACACTTAGCAGCGAGGAGCCAAAAGTCGTTCTGATTAAGAGCTCCATTTCTCCTTTCCAGTAGGCATACCATCACCTCCTTACATCCAATTTTTCGTGCCACCTCCCTTTAAGGGCGCCACGGCAGACCTTAGTTGTGCCGTTGAAAGGACTTCGTGCCAAGGCCTGTAATGAATGGGGTATCACTAATGTGGCTAAAATTTGCTGTTTTGGGTGACGATCGCGCATTTTTGCTTCCCATTCTGAGTTTTGAGCGCGACTGCCAACATTGTGTTCCTGACATACCGGCAAACCGTTGGTTTTGCAAAAATTATGGGCGGTGCTAAATTCCAGTCCAACGGAGCGGGTCCCCTCCGGCGCGCGTTTATGCTTTGGCCGTTCCCGTCAGGTGCTGTTTTGCATTGCAGTCTTTGTCAAATATTTAACATTATCTGGAATAGAGCTGGAATAAAGGGGCTAAAATTGAGATAAAGCGCCATTGACATTGGGGTGCACTCTTGAAATCGTGGTCACTCTACCTACGGCCGATGTCAGACTTGGCGAATCGGGCCATTCGTTGAGCACGATGCGACGCGACCGCGACGCTAGCGAATCGCTCGATTCCACGGTCGAACTGGCAATGACCAACGAATAACAGAGTTTAGTAGGCTGCGAGGTGAAACACACACACAATATCATCAATCTGATATGTGAAAATATGATACAAAACGCGAGTATGGCCCCGCTCGTATTCACTCTAACCTTCAAAAGTATGTACAATCCAGACATGCGTTTCAAAGAACATTGTGGAAATTCTGGCGATTATCTTGGCCATGTGTTCTGTCCAAGTGCTCTTCCCGTTGACTATATATGTATTTATGTATGATTTTGTTCGGTGTTTGTGTGTGATGATGGTTCAAAATGGTGATCACTGGTACTTTTTGAGAAGAACAGAGATATTATATGAAAATTCTATTTTCTTGTACTTGTAAATTCATAAAGATGCTTTCGCTGTTGTTTTTCACCTGTCGTTTTACTCATGGGGTCTGTGAATGAGTTATACCGTCGGGTGACCCGCATCCATCATGGTTACCAGTTCATGCGCCCGAATCATGCCTTTGAAGGCAAGAATGAGGAATAAATGATGAGCTCTCACTAAATTGAATGTAAGTTGGAAATGGACCACCAATGAAAAAATGAAAAAAAACTCTGAAAACACAAAAAGCACAGATAATCACGAGCATTTTGCTCCATGCTGTGGAAAGTCAAAAGACAGGCAGGAGATGAGATAATGTGAGCGCGGAGAGCGGTAGAGAAGTCCGAGAAAGAGAGCATAGCAGATCAACGTGGCGACGCAGACAAGATATCGAACGGTGGGCGGACCATGTTAAGTTTGGTGGAGTCTGTTATAAGTCCATGGCGTCTAGGGTCCTAGTGACTCGTTCTGTAGTGCGCTTCACTTTGCCCTTTCGTAGCCTCAGCTCGTCTAACCAGGTAAGGGTTTCTTGGTGGTCTGAGCCCAAAATATGCCTTGAACTCAACCCAAGGTACGTATTTTGAGCATAAGGCAATGTGAGTTTCGGCTAAGACCCCACTTAGCAAAGCTTATAACGTTGGTTAGAAATTGAGGTACACACCACGAAGTCGCACGCACCTGCCGACACCGGCGCGTCACTTAGACGCTACGCCAAAGGCTACTAACACATCTAGCAGCTAACATGTACTCTACCTTCGCGCAAACAAGCGAATCGCGCAAGCAGGGCTCGTCGTCCCCTAACCATTATACTTTGGTATACCGTAATCGCGATATTTGTCAATCAATAAATTGTTTGTATAAATTAGTTAGATCTTTTGGCGTTTAGGTCTACATAGTGTGAGATTTAGTTCGCTCATTGTCCGGCATTCTCATAACTGTACAGTTACTGCAGAGGAAACACGACAAGTTTGTCGTCTCTATCCTCCACTCAAGGCGTTTTGTTTCTGCCACGACTTGCTCATTCAGAGTTCAGGTACGAAAACAGTGCGGGCATTCTGAACGGCTTGAAAATATTAAGTCGGTCGAATGCGCATTCGTTTTATTGAGTCTCCCCAGCAAGGAGCAGTGCATTCCAGCTTAAAGCGTAATATCACAAAATTATTATTTATTAGTGCTAAACTCAGTGATAAACAATTCCAGTCGCAATTTCAAGCAGCTGGAACGGACAACGACATTCTCCTAGTGCAAAGTATGTACAGCAGCTAGAGGTACTGTAACGTGTGGCGCCTTCCAGCAGTATTCGTCAACATTCGAATCTATTGAGGGAGCTTATCGAAGAACTTTCTATAGAATGCGTCCTTGTCAATATTCTTCACAGGGCTTCGTCGAATTGGCCGATTTCCCACCTGGAACAATAAGTTTTCACATCAAACGATATTGTTTTAAATGACGTCATACCTGTGTGACGTCATCGTCATTGATGGAGTTTAAGTCAAACGGGGACACTGGATTGAATGCATGACCATGGGCGTATGCGTATGGAGACGTTCCCTGAAAACGAATACCTTCATTTGAAATTTCATGCAATAGTATTTTTTGTGGGATTGGGAAATATGTAGGCGGTTAGGTAGTGAGAGTAGACATGCGTTGAAATGGTACATTTGAAAGTAGTGCCCACAGCGCTCGTGAAAAAGTGGATGTATTCCCGCCGCTAGCATTTGTGACAGATGTCCGGCGGGAATTTGAACGCGTAGCAGTCCTTCCGGTTTTTCGAAATGTTTACCAAACCAATACAATTATACAATAAAAACCGGAAAGCGAGAGGTGCGGGTTCTAGTCCCGCCTGGGGCGAAAGTTTTGTTCACAACCCAGCATTCTTGTGAAAACACAGTTTTTTTTGTTCTTTCATTCTTATTGTGGACGATGGGTCTCTGGCCAGCGATTTATGGGTGCGATAGAGTTACGATTTTCCGGGAAGGATTCCTTTGAGTAATTCAAATTTAAACTTTGCAAAGCTCCTTTTCCTAATTCTATTTTTCCTTCTTTTCAATACAGTGTTTCAAAGCTTACCGCTTCCACTGCTCCCGACAAAGGAAAGCGAACACCTGAGCCGAGCGGTCCGATTGGCAGTGGCAGGTCAATGCCACCAATAAAGAAGGTATCGTCCCCTAAAGAGTTGATTATTCGTGAATGTAATGATGTAAGAATTCGAGTTGGACGTACCTTGTTCGACCTCAACAGCAACTCCCGTATGGTGAACGAATGGATTACAATAAGGAGGTTTGCATTTGATCGGCTCGTAACCGTACGGGATTCTACCGACCACAACTTCTTTAGCCTTTTCTGAAAGTATCTTCTTTGCTTTCTGGTGTAATGTTCTTTGAGCGACACGGGCTTAGCCTGCTCTTCTTGATGGAGAGATATGCAGGCTAACTAGGGAAGGATGAAGGGTCGAAGTGGCCATATGAAATGAGACAAGTATATCATGGTATGTGGTTTCGGACGCTGATCTCGAATCTTCTTCCCAAATCTGCCAAACGATTCGCTGAACGGAGTTACGGAGGTTTTTTGTTCCCTCACACAGTTTAACACAGTGAGAAATGA